TTAACCTATAGCTTTATTAAACCCTATATAGAAGCAAATATTTCCCCTATCCTCTTTATCCCTAAATTAAATTTAATTAAAAGATAGTTTTATATAAATTATTAATAGAAAAATAAATATTTAAAAGACTATATTATTTTAATGTTAGATTTAAATAGTATTATATATAATAGTTAAAAGGTTAAATATTATATTAAGCTTAATATTATTAAAACCTTTTATAAATTAAGGATAGCCTTAAAATCTTAATATTTAATAATATTCCGGATTTAATAAAAAGTATTTTAATAGTTGGTCCTACCCTTTGGATTAAAAATTAGGCCCGCCTAGTAATAAAACTTTATTAATTTTTAACTATATAAATTATTTAACCTTTTTATTAACATTTACGTTAATAACATCTTAATATTTATAAATAATAAAAAAGAGCATTAGGAATAATATAAAAAAGTAATATATTGCTTTTATAATATTAAGCTTTAAGGAAATATAAAAAAATCCTACTTTAATGTAATTTCTATAAACTATTTAAGTATAATCCTAAAGGCTGTACAAGGTATCCAAATAAACCTTAAAAAAATAGATACTATTATAAATTAGAAATTTAAAAACCTAATTAATATTTAAACTATCCATTTATTCCTTAAGCTATATAACTTTATTTAAATATTTATATATTATATTAACAATATAGCTAAACCCTTAAACTATTTGCTTAAAAAGGGTATATTATTTAAAATAGGCAATAAATAATAAAAAGCTTTTAAAGTAATAAAAAAGTTAACCTATAAAATATTAATATTAACCTTCTTTTAATTTAATTAACCTATTAGAATTAAAACTAACGCTTCTTAAAATATTATTAGTAAAGCTATTTAATAATAATAAAAAAATAGCATTTAAAAGCCCGTAGGATACTTTTTAAAAACTATATTATTAGTTAAATAAGCTTATCCTATATAAAATAAAGAATTATTAATTATAATTTAAACTATAAAATATAATTATTTAAAGCTATTAAATATAAAGTTTTTTATAATAATTAATTATTAAGCCCTACTATATTTTATTATTAAAAAAGTCCTTTTTATAAAATAAATAAAATAGGTAAACTTTTTATTTAACTTTAATATTACCTTTTAATACCAGCCCAGCTAAAAGAATATAGTAATAAATGCGTTATTTTATAAAATAATTAATTTATTAACTATTAAAGCTTATAAAGCTAAAGAATATAATATAGCCTTAATCCTATTTAAAACTTTAGGAGGGCTAATAGTTGTTATAAAAAAGGAAGTAATAATACTATATAGCTTTAACTTAATAAATTTAATCTAATAAAAAAACGAAAAGCAAGGTCTAAAATATAAAAACTATTGGTTAATCGTTTTAAAGTAGACCTTTAATTTAAAAGTTTATTTCTGGATAGCCTTAATTAAGGAAGCCTATTATCCAATAATTACTACTTACCCTAAATAAAATAAATGCATTAAAATAATTAAATAAAATTACTATTAGCCCTTATTAAAATGAAATATTTAAATATATATTTATAATTGTTATAATTATTAATGGAATAAAACTTTCCGGGATAAAATACTTGGATTATTATACTTATTATTAATTCCTATAATTATTTAACATTATATTATAGTTAATAAAAAGGATATACCTTTAAATAAATATAGTTATAATTATATATAAGTATTTATTAATAAATTTAACTACTTATTAATTATAATACTTAATAAAAAAAACAATATAGTAAAAAATATAATATATTAATACTATAAATATATTTACCGTTTCCTAGGTTTTTTAAAGGTATAGATTTTAAATAATATTGCACCCTTTATTTTGCGCTTCTTAGTAAAGATTAATAAATTAACCTATATTAAATACCGGTATAGGAGTACTTTTTACCCTTAAACGTAAGGAGCTATAAAGTTTATAAATTAAAAGTTAAATTAATAATTATACTTTTACATTAATAAGTATTAAAATAATTGGAGCCTTTACCTACCTATATTAAATTTTATATATAACATTTCTTAATATTTAACTATTAATATAGTACTATTAAAGGTTCTAATAGGAATTAATGTAAGGAACCCTTTATTGTTACCTTTATTAAATATTATTAAAAAAATAGTACTTAAAAGGCTAACCTAATAATTAATATAATAAACCTATAAAGTATAAAAGGCAGTTTATAAAGCAATAAAAGCTATATAAAAGAAATAAAAAGTATAGGTAAATAGGAAGTAACGCCCGGTAGACTTTTATATAAAAGATAAGGTCTTCCTAAAGAAGAAAGGCTTTACGATTAATAGCCCAACTACTTAATTAAACTCCTAATAGGTTAAACCCTTTAAAATATTCGAAAAAAGAGGATATAGCTATATATTGGACCTTTTAAAGTTAATAAAGATAATTAACCTTTTTTATATAGATTGATTGTATAAAGTAAGTAAAAACCTATTACTTTAATAAACTTAACTATTATTAAAACTTAAAAATATTAAAGGAGGACCAGAATAGAAAGTTAAATAACTATTTAAGTTATAAATAATAGAGTATAATAAAACATTATAATATTAAATTGCTTAAAAAGGTTATAACCTTAACGATATTTAATACTTGGTAAAGAATTTTAAAAATTTATTAGTTAAAATATAAAAGTTCTATAAAAAATAGCTTAATATATTAAGACTACTTAAATAATTAAATAAATAGATAAAAGCTATAACAATTAATAAATTTGCTATTAACTACTTTAATAATAATGTTACTATATAAAATAGTATTATAATTAAAATTAAACGCTATAAATAATTCTTTAACCTATTTTACACCCGTATTTCAGTTTTAATAGGGGGAAGTATAATAAACGTATTAAATATATACTATACCGGAACATTATACGCATTATAGAGGGACATTATAGAGATACGTAAGATGTAATATATGTACTAATAAGGTCATATAACCTATAATAGCCGTTAATACGTATATATCTCCATGTACGCTTATATTCTAGTTTCATCTTTCCTTCCTTTTTTCCTTAGCTTAAAATCTTCATTTATAGCATCAATATAGCTATGCCCTAAACCCCCAATTATAATAAGGGATATAATATAATATATTTAGCTTTTTTTAATATAATATATTATTATATTTTTTTTAAATTTATTAGTTAACTTTTTTAATTAATTATTAAATAAATCTTTATTTTTAAAAAAGGTATTTAAATTAGCTTTATAAGTTTTAACCTTCTTTATATATTTTAAGTTTAAATTAATAAAGTTACCTATTAAGTTAATTATTTTAAAAATAGCTTATATAACTATATTAATTAATTTAAAATCGATTTTATTAAAGGTACTTTTAATTATATCTTTTTATAATATTAAGGTTAAGCTACCTTTTTTTATTTAAGTTTAAAAAGCGGTAATTTAATTTTATAGCTATTAAATTAAAGTAGTTTAATTAATAGCATTTATTTTATTTATTAATAAGGGTAATTTTATTAATCCTTTATTTAAATTAAAGTTTAATAGTAAAAGCGTTCTATTTTTTAATTTAAAGTTTAAAAAGTTTTAAAAGTTATTTTTAAATTTAACGTTAATCTTTTCTTTTTTAATAAAAAGGATAGGGTTTTAAATTAATTATTTATTAATTATAGAAATATTAAGTATAATATATAATAATAATTGTTAAAATCGTTTTAGGTTATTTATTTTAACTAAGGTCTTTTTAATTTTAAGGGGTATAAGGTTTAATTTTATTAATTAAATCTATTATAAGGTTATATTTATTTATTATTAAATATAAAATATAATAATAGGGAAAAGTTTAATTTATAAATTATAAATAATAGTAATTAAATATAAATAATATATTTATATAACATTTATTAATAAAAAGGAAAAGTTTAAAATAATATTATAATTAGGGTTTAAAGTATAGCTATATTAATATTATAAATAAAAATTTTAAGCTAAAAAAAAAAGGAAGGAAAGATAAAATTAAAATATAAATATATATAGAAATATATATAGGTTAATAGCTATTATAGGTTATATAACTTTATTAATATAAGTTTTCTATATTTTTATAATATCCCTTTATAATGTGTATAATGTTTAAATATAATATATATTTAATATATTTATTATAAATATTAAATTTAAAAAAGCTTATTTTAATAAAGATAAAGCTAAATTAATTACTTTACTTATTATTATTTATAATTATAATAAATTTAAAGTTAGGATAAATATAATTAATTAATTATAAATATATAACTTTTAAAATTATAAAATTTATAAAAGCTATAAAAAGTATATATTTCTTTAATTTATTCTTTAATTAATTATTTATAATACCTTTTTATTATAAAAGTAGTTTTAAAATATAACTTAAAAGCTATATAATAATTAATAGCTTTAAAAATAAGCTATAGTAAAAGTTATCTTTAAAAAATATAGCTTTAAATTATAAGCTGGTTAATAAGGCTTTTTAAGTAAAAATAGCTTTAAAATTAAGCTTTTAAGCTATTAATTAATTAAACGGAATAAAAAAGGAGATTATAAGGCCTATAAAGGCTTTTTAATTAATAGTTAAAAACGTATTATTTTAAGTAATATTAATAGTAATATTAATGGAAAATGGTTTTAAATAATCTATAGCTACAATAAATATAATATAGCACTTTATAATAACGATCATTATAGTTATATCTAATATAGGCAAAATTAGTATAGGAATGGAAGTAACTATTATTTTAGCTGTTCTTACTGGCTACAGGGGTTCAACTAGTGCCTTGGCAGGCTTTGGAGCGCTCGTGGGCCTTAAAGGGATACAAGGGTGTTGCCCCCTTGGAAGTTTCAAGGCTGGTGATCAATTGAACCGTATCGAGCCCTATACTTGGCCTTTTTCCTACCTACTCGACTGCAACTAGCCTTCTACTCACTATAGGACACCCAACCTTGACAATATCAAAGCAACAGCCGGACTGTCCGCACTCTTGTTACCATCCTTGGGAGCATGTGCCTTCTCTCATGGCGGTAATAGGCGCTGTATATAGCCCCGATAGTGACAGCGACTAGAGGAAGTAAGAATGTGTAATTAGTACATTCGGTTGCGACATTACAGGCAGTGGCGGTGGTTTCAGTGTTGGCGTAGATATCGCGGCAAGAAAGGAACGGACTCCAGTTGACCTGTATGACGAGGATTGGGAGGACAACAAAGTCGATGGAAATAACGAGTACATTGGGGATCCATTGCTCAAATGTGGTCGGAATGTTTCTGGAGATTATTAACAAGTCCCAAAGAACGAGTAAGCTCCATAGATACGAGAACGCTAATTTCTGACCAGTGGACATCGACGTCCATTTGTGCTCGGTCCTATATGTAAAAATCAGGGGTAACGGGAGAATAAAGACGAACAGCGTGATTTTAAGCCAATTTCGAAGGATTTTCGTGACCCATTTAGTGAATACACCCTTTAGGGGCAGGGTCTTCCTTCCATGCTCGCGGAGTATCGCTTGGCTCAGCTTCAGATGGGCGTTCCAATTACTCGAAACATGAACCCCGGACTGCTTTTTATATGCCTCATATACGGCAGCGTGTGTCCTGCTCCCTTCCCAGTCAGTTTGCGGGAGATGCGGCTGCCGTAAAGTCCAAGGATACAGGTCGATGTCTCCTTCCCGCTTTTCCTGAAGCCTCTTAGTATATTGTAATGGTGTCTCCATCTGATCCCAGAGCAGGCTATTTGGGTTCCATCCTCGCCGAAGCATTTCCCTGAGCGCTTCTGTGTTACCAAGTTGTATAGCGTCTCGTAGGTACGACACGGGTCTGTAATGTCCGAGGCCCGCTTGTGTTTCTATGATATTCCATAAATCCTTTCTATCATTTCTTATACTTCGAATATTTCCCCAAACGAGTCGGTCATATTCCTCTCGGGATAGAGGGCAGCGAGTCCATTCTTGTACGCCGTCTTCTTCCGAATTGGATGCCCTTGAACAAAATAATATGCTATTAGGGCTACTGCTGGTTCTACTGGCTCGTCTTAATGGTAAAAGGTGCTCCATAACAAAGCGGCATTGTCTGTAAGTGCCATAATGTAGTACCGCCTTGACAAGAACTATGGATGTGTTATGGACATTCGAATTTCGCACGTAGTGCCAAGACTTTCCCGTGCGAAACAAGTCGGGGAACCTCTTAATGATGGTCGCTGCTGGCGTGAACATGGAGGAAAGGATTGCGCGCTCTAGAAAATAACAGCCATATATTTTGCGGTATTGAGAATCGGATGTCTCGCCCCGTAGCCATACATCTTTGACTGCAGGTGTCCCCACTGTTGAGGGCAGTAACGCGATTATTTCCTCATTCCTTGTGACTAATGTTGGCTCTGCAGCATCTAGAATAGCATTCCTGAAGTTGAACACGGTTGAGGTTAGTTTGCATCTCACAATAATCCTTCTCGATCAGAACACTGGACGAAGTCTACTTACGTGAAAAAGTTGTCTTGATGGCTAGAACTACACAGTATCAAGAGTGCCATCTGCACCGGATTTAAGTCATGTTCTCTTTTGACTGGGGGTAGACGCCGTGGTCGAAAGAGGCTGAGTGGTTGGTCCCACCATCTGTTATAATGATCCTGGCATCCGTCAATCCAGCAAGGCACTGTTAAGAGCCCTTTTAATAAGTTGGGGGTGTGTTCCAAGAACGATTGGAGGATCTCTCGGAACCCGAGACTGACTGATCGCATGAAGGGTGAAGTATCCAAGGGGCCACGGACCCACCATAACTTTGCGAATCGGCGCTTATCGCCTTCATTAAGCAGAAATTTCACTGCTTCTAAGTTGTTACCCTCCACAGCCGCACACATCATAGAGTACGCCAGGTTTTCCACATGGTCCTCCGTAGAGAGAAGTAGCAGGATCGTATTCTCCAATGCCTCGGTATAATATTTGCCATATTTCATTGCTCGAAATAACAAGTCTGGAAGGTCCAATGCTCCTATTACAACACTGTTAAAAGGAACCACATGAAGTGGGAGAAGTTTGTTTCCAGCCCAAACCTTCATGTCTTTCAGGCCAATGTCTTGCTGATTCCTGTGGTCCCTTACATGAGCTACTAGCATGGTAAGGGCCCTTGCCTGAAATATAGACAGTGCCACAGCGAAGATCCTTCGGAATTGGGTGCCACCTTCGCAAATGTGACATAAACCGCTCGTTGCCTGAGAATGACATGCATCTAAAAGGCATTTTAAGAGTGTCATGTTACCGTAAAGAATCGCATTCAAAATAGCGCAAGAACGGATTTCCGATGTTAAGATAGTATCCTCAGGTGTGAGATGAATAGTAAGCGCTTCATGATGTAAGTCTGCGCGTCGTTCCACTAGCTTAGGTACCAAATTTTGAACTGTCTCGTCGTCAAGTAAAGGAAGGAAGTGCAGCACTGTATGCCCCGACCGGTTCCATATACCAGCATTGATATCTTCTTGCTCGACAATGAATTCAAGCATATTGACTTGTTGCCTTCTGGCAGCCAGTATTAGGGGAGTGTTTCCGCCATTATCTTGACAATTCATATTTATCGGGTTAGATTTAAGGTAACCCTGTAGATCTTGGAGCGTTCCCGAATTAAGAATATTGAGCAGTTCATCTGGCATTAACTTGACGGGTGGCCATAACTTATCGTCTGTATCTGACTCAGTTTCGCTTCCGTCGGAAAATGTGCCCCTTGACCTTTTCGATTCAGGTTCCCTGACTTGCGATGAGGAACGACGATTAGGTGTTGTTATTGTCGGACTTTGACGCTCTTTGACCCGCCTGAGCGGCATTTGATAGGGGCGCTTCATCGCTTCATGTAGACTTGTGAAGTAGTCTAGGGCAGCAGCCACGCCTCCTTCTGATGCAATCGACAACCACTTTGAGCATTTATCATGTGACACTGCTACGCCAAACCCGGAAAAATAACAGATCGAGAGTTCCCATGCGGCGGCCCACCGCCGAGGGTCGTTACCATCGTTAGCGATAAGGGATAAACTTTCCACGATACGCGACTTTAAGTGATGACTCGTTTGGGAGAAGCTGGAGTAGCCTATTGCAACCTTAGAGGTACGTTAACAACCAGTAGAGCGGTAGCTGATCAGCGCGTTACTTACCATCTCCTTCACGTCAAGGTCCTTTATGACTTGAGTGTGGCTAGTCTTTTCGCTATGAGAGCGCTGTCCTCTTGGCATGTCGTCACTATCGTACCTACCAATCATTGTAAGCTTGAGCCATGCAAATGTAGTTCTTAATTCCAAGTCGTTGTGCCCAATCACCATACGACAAGCTTGAAGACGTACTGATTTATTATTCTGATACACTCATCCAAATTACGACGTTTCGGTCTCAATCGAATAGCTTGCCGCATTAATAAATCGACAGTAGCAAGATCTAAGTCCGAGTCATGTTTCTCTCGATCTTCCCTCCTGACTAGCTCGATAGCTTCCGACAATATTGAACCACTGGATCGAAGTGTTGTGGAGTCACCAATAGACTCGTAAAACGGATGATCGATCATGATGGATAAAACAACGAGCCCATAAGAGTAGGTGTCCGTTAATTTCATTTCACAGAACCCCATGGTTTTAGGACCTGACCTCTCAGGTAATAGTTCTGGGGCGCACCATTGCGGTGTGAACGCTGGCAGGCTTTTAGAGTCGCTATGTTCGAACACTGAATGGCCAAAATCCGTCAGCTTGGCCAAAAATTCATTGTCTTTATTCACTCTTGGAAGAATAAGAATATTCTCGGGCTTGACATCTCCGTGAACAACCCCACAACGGTGCATCACTCTTAAGCCCTCAGCGATATCACGGGCTAAATCTAATTTAGATTTGAACTTCAGGCGAACAAAATCCCAATTCACCCAAAATTTGTCCAAAGTGCCTTGAGGTGCCAGCTCTTCGAGGAATAGAGGACGGGGAATAGTAGCTTCTTCGTCTTCAAAATCCCACGCTACCCCTCGCAATTGACCAATGTTTGGATGTTCTCTGAGGGGCGCATGTGTTCGAACTCTCAACTCTGTAATAAAGCTGACCAAGGCGTAGGTCTCTGGCTCAAGTATGCGTTCTCGTGGTCTTTTGACGATGATATTTTCCCATTTTGTAATTATTGGATTGGAGGATACGGCGGACACAACGTGACGCGATATTCGAGTGTGGCTAACACTACTCGTGTGGCCCTTGGTGTATTGTATCTCTTTGTGACGATGAAACTGGCGAACGGGCTCCATCTCATCGCCGTACTGTCGGTATATTTCGCTAATCAGGGAGATCAACGTGATGAAATCTGGTGCTAATGCATTGTCGGGTGTAATCCTCGGCGCACCTCGTGTCTGTGTGAATCGCGATCGTGATTGTGACCAGTTTCGGCGAATGTCAGCAAGATTCACGGTGGCTTGGGAACCTAGTCCCGTTGACCGAGTCGTCATCGTAGAATCCCGATACTGTACAATATAGTCACTGGTTTCGATGGCTAGATTGGAAAATGGGTATCGTTGAAGTTTCTCTATGAACATCCACCTCAAGAGTGGTTTTCGAATTTCATTGCGAGGTATTGTTGCTTACATTTCGGGTCCGAGCCTCAGCTGCCTTGCTCTGGATGCATATGCAGCTTCCCCCAAACCCGACTTACCCCGCTCAACTTATACGTGCCGATTAAGGGGCATCTAAAGATCCCCCGGTAGCATTCTGCCACTATATTGGAAATGGTGGCGCAGCAATGAGGCTCTGCTATGATTGCAGAAGTGACCACTGCACTGCCTCAGAGGATATCTACAAGATAAACATAGATTATTCCTCTGCAATCATCTTAGAACATCATTATCTATGGATTCCCTTTCCTAGGTTCCTTATTCATCTCTTGTATAATCCCCAATGGCCACGGGTCTCGAGGTTTTAGGTGGTGTCGCGGCTTCGCTTGAGCTGGTCAAAATAACAAAAAGCTGTCTGTCAACTTTTAATGAGTTACGCAATGCGGACATACAGGCGAGAGCCCAAGGAGATATACAATTCCATTTTATCGTGCAAGGCCTCAAATTTGATCGTTGGTGTTCATTGCTGGGGATACAGAACATGTTTGAGCTATCCGAAATGTCGCCTAGTCAGTGGCAGCAAAAAGTCGAAGTCAAGGAGTTCGAAGACCTGTTACAAGATCGGCTACGATTCAGGAGTCATAACCTCGTTACCCTTGTGTTGAGAACCTTGAAGTCGATGGAACAAAAGTTCAGCGAGGCTGAGAAATTAATGGTGAAATATTCAGTCTCAACAGATACTCAAGCCCCGTTTGTTAGTCCAACCCCATCTCGCAAACACCACTTCACGCTTCCCAGAGTCTTGAAAAGAACAAAGCAACTATCATTGCCATCGAGCGACATGTCTGCAGAGGACATCAGTTCAATTCGGGGCCGAATCGCACGCCCTATTTCTAAGATGCAATGGGTGGCGACGGACAAGAAAACTGCGCAAGATATACTAAAGAGCATCGTGAAAGTCAATGACTCTTTGGTGGGACTCTTGGAGTCAATACACCAAGCCCAAATAAATCGGCAGATAAATCTGGCCATCCTGGACAGCGTAGAACATCAAGAACGCTACATCACGCAGATCCTCCCCCGAGACAGTGAAGTCCGAGCTTTGGTTGGTATGAGGCTTTGGCAAGCGCGCGGGCTCAAAGAATCCGAGGATAATGCCTCATCATACTCTGGAACAAGCTTCGGAGTTGATGCGAGGCCGGCCAGGCACACCACATATTCAACTCAGGACTTTAAGAAAAATACCATTCACCTCGGGGAGTCGAGATCGTTTTCCATCTTGGGTGGAGAATCGGTTGTGGTAGAATGGAAGTACTTTAGCAAGGACCGACCATTTTCCGTCGAACAGTCGTTTCGTCTTATGGATTTGGTCCAACTTCTCAATACTACTGATCTATACAAGAAGTTCCAAGCCCTCCCATGTAAAGGCTATGTCACTGACAACGAGAACTTTCGAGTCGGCATGATCTTTTCAACTGGGCATCGTTCGACGATGACTCCTCAGTCCCTTCAAGGTGCAATACATGGCACAACAGAAACACCCCCGCCAGTGGGTGAGCGATTTGCGATAGCGAGACGCTTTGTTCTAGCCATTCACAACCTCCACGCTGTACAGTGGCTACACAAGGGGATTCGCAGCGATAATGTTTGTGTCCCATCACGTTGAGCTATGTGATACGAACTAACTTGACTCAACAGATCCTATGCTTTCAAGATATTGGTAGCAAAGACAACCTCGATATCTTGCGAGAGAATAAACCTACGGATCCAACTGGTGAAACAGATCCCATAGGGGAAATGGTAGGCTCAAAGGAAAAAGATCACCATTTAACAAAGGCCCCTAGTCCGCTCCCTACATTCTACCTATTGGGATGGGATCTGTCACGCCCAGACCACCCAGAAGAGCTTTCTGAGTCTATCTCAGTTTCTACTCTAGGTTTTCAGACTAAGCTGGAGGCTATTCGTATGTATACCCATCCAGATGCGTTTTCCGCCCAGCATCTATCACCAGGGAAACGACTACGGTATCGTCCACAGTGGGACATGTACAGTATTGGTGTGAGTGGCAACTTTTGTATTCTTATCTTCTTGCGCACAGCCCTGGAAAACCCTTTAATATTGTTACCCGCCTACTAACCTAGCAGCTCTTCAATCTCGAAGATCACCAACTGAGGACCGATAATTAACTTTTTTTCTAGCTGATTCTCCTCGAAGTTGGACTGTGGAGAACACTAGACACAATCCGTCGCAAAGTCACGAACGATGACGATTTTCGGCTGCGTGTGCGGACGGAGTACTGTGATAGGTTACAGGCAAAAATGGGACTCGTTTACTGGAGGGTTGTCCAAAGATGTCTGAATGATGACTTCGAGTTGAGCGATGAAGGGGTTTCGGGTCATCATGATTTTTCCTTGCAAGTTGCATTCGAGAAGCAGGTAGTCTTCGAATTGGAAAGATGTTATGCTTGATGAAACACAGGATCTAGGGATCCCACAGTATGAGGCTGTTTTCTGTCCATCAGGGCTCAAAGGAAGATCTATAACAAGGGTAGATGACTAGGCTTAGAACTTGAGCAATTTATATTATAATGAACAACTAGGGCTGCATGAGTCCTTGACCAACCAACTCTTTCTCGGCTGTTGGTGGCTCGACTCGACTCTATATACAACTGGTCTGCCAGCCCAGACCGCCTGGGTCTCTAGGGTCTGTTTCAAGAAGCGAAGTCTGTATAGCCTCATGGCGGCATGTCTTGAAATGATCATGATCAGCCTGCAATGGCCTTTCGTACGGCTGAAGTGCAAGGTGAGCAGCTTATTCGGCTTGTACAGCTTGTACGCGCGTAACATTTTCAATAGTTCCATCTGTCATAATTAGCTATTGACGTCTGTTTGATTCCTTTCCACAGTTGTGGTATGTGCCCATAGCCTACATAATGAACGCGTCCAGTTTGTTAAGCGCGTTCGAGACTTGCACCCTTAAGCAACCACAGCAACTACGGTTGCCTAAGGCATCACTGCCAACAAAGGTACAAAGGTACCTCCCAATGTGCGACCCAGGAACTACATAGTCAACAATAGACGCGTCTCCCAACAAGTACTGGTAACCTAATGGGTAGAGATGCTCCCTCAATGACCTCCAGGACACCAGTTCAGTTACGGTCCCAGCTAGACTTTGGGGTCTACTTAGTAGATGCCACCACTTCGAGACATCGGGGACTGCAGGTCCTCTATAAGTAGATTCGGACACCGGGGTTTACTCATAAGGGCTTCCCCCTTTGGGACGCTGGAGGCCTGGCGGCTCTTATGAGGAAATCCCGGAGTCTCCGAAGTCGCCCGCGGTGCACGGTTGTCAGAAGGGTTGGTCCCGGAGTGAGTAGAAGGTCAGTCACAGTCAAGTAGGTAGGTAGAAGGGATAGTATAGGCGTCAATATTCATTGAATCCTGAACCCTCTAACCTTCGAAGGGGGGGCCAACACCCCTTTATATAGCCAGTAGGTCTAATACAGCCACCCCTAGGGTCTATGTGACTATATCACCTGACAACGGTGCTGGATCACGACCGCAAAGAAATACCCACTCAAATGCGAAAGCAGGGCGCGTTGTAGCTCTAGAGACTTTGACAAATAGAGGCAAGGCATATTAACTTTTTTTTTTACCCTTTGGTTTTATTATGTCAGAGCTTTATGCTACCCTGCTTTTTTTTATATTAATATACATGGAAACTTTCGCTAGATATTATCTAACTGGATGTGTTAAAGATAGTAGCAAACCCATATTAGCAAACGAAGTGATATATGCATATAGATTAAGCTTCTTTCATTAAACTTTGTCAGTCCTATCTCGTGGAGCTATTGTTAGGCAGACTGCACATCATTCATCTCCTACAGTCTTGCAACTTTGGCTTTGTTCGCTATATCCCTTATACACCAGATGCCCCTTCCAGCGTCACAAAGGTTGCTGTACAGATTTGCGGTCCAAAAGGGACGGTGTTACAGTCCATGCTTGCTTCGGAATTCCCGACAAATGTGGTCCTGGGTGTTTCAGTCAGCCCTCTTCATCTAAGTTAAGGTTTATGAGTGTCAGAGAGCTATCACATACGGGCCAGAATCGCCACAATTAATCACCTGTATAACACTCGCATAAAGCATACCTAATCCAATCTGGATCTCGATCACTGTCGAATTGTCGGTCTTCGTGCCGGATATCGTGCACCGATAGTTGGAGTGCAGAGGACAAGTGATGAGCTCAGTTTGGTTGGTCAGATTGTACGTGAACTTGAAACCCGCCGTGCCCTCCTCGCCGACGTTGTCGCGCGTTGTGATGTTGAGATCTCGGATGGACCAGCTTGGAGGCTCGCTGCAAGGCTCTGACAATGCGAGACTGGCAAATGCCAGGGCCAAAAGCGGCTGAACTCTTGGCAACATGATGCTCTCGTGGGGGAGTGGAGTACAAGGTCTACTGCAGCAAATAAATCAGTGCACTGTTTAATGGCAAATTGGATCGGTATATCTAGAATGACCCAAGGCCTGAGTCCTATATACACGCATCCGGGACTCTTAGTGCATCAATTAAGAGTAGTAATGAATATGGAACATGTCGGCTGCTCAAATTAGCCGCCTTGGTGGATGTAGGTTGAACCAACCTCCCACAGGTGGACAATATCTTGAGCGTAACCTCATCCCGGCAGTTCAACCCTTCAGCTGTGATCTGGGCGATCATTTACAACTGGCTGGATATGAAGCGACATCTATGCACCGTTCCTGTCCAGCATGCCTACATCTTACAAACGCTCGGATAAGTAAGTTGATTTAAGTGCTACAACAGTACTTTGTTCTGGTGAAGTTCTGCTTCGATATTGACAGAAGAGTTCTTGGAATACTGAATCCGTCGGCGTGTTCTCGTCTGAGTGACTGTAGGAAACGACCTTGGAGTATATAATGGTGGCGAGCGTCAACTCAGGCTTTATTATGAGATTTCGTAACGGTGAAAGCGCGAGTCTTGATTACACGTTACTAGACACCCGAACTTATACCCTTGTTAAGCTCTTCCCAATGGCTAGCTTGACCAAGATAGGACAATAACGTAGCTTATAACAACTTATCCATCGCCCCATCCATTTGGGGACGCTTCAATATCAGTACATAATATTAATCAAAAATGCAGCCATTGCCAAGCCGTAGGGTGGTTTTGGGGATAATGAGTGGTGCGGAGAAAGTGGAAGACGATGACCATTTTTGCCATTTAGCAGGAGACGATCTTCTAGATAAGAAGCAAGCATTCAATTGACCACGGTCTTTTCCGGGTAGAGAGTCCTGCAATGTTCCATATTCGTATTTCACCGAGTTCAGATTCTTCCAGGATTAGGAGACAGCCCTGTTCTCTACTCCGTAACGCTACTAGAATGCACTGCTTCTAAGATGTACACTTATTTTGATAACAAGATCATGTATCAATTTTGAATAACATTCCCTTAGCAGCCTGTCTCCCATTCTAGTTATTATTATATAAAGATCACGGGAGACGATGTCTTGAAAGATGATCGCTTGTAAGTAAGTAGATAGGTATGTTTGCAGTCTATAAATAGGTACATTATACTTGAAGATCTGGCATGCAGCAAGGGTCCAATTAAACCTCCAAAACGGCAAGATCCGTCCCACCAACCACGAACCACCCAATCTGAACCTCCGCCGCGCCCAGCAAACCCACGATCTGCGCCTAACAACACAACCTAACGAGAATGCGACACTAGCCCTATCCACCGACTAAATCTATCGTCTGTCTGGCCTTGCTTGGGTTGGGCCTAGGAGGAAAAGTTCAGCCATGCTGCACGACATCATCGACCAGATATTCCTGAGCCATCACCAACATCACCACGACGACGACCACCATCACAACAGCAGCGCTCCTTCGATTCCCGCCAACATCATGGCCGCCGCCGATCCCAAACAGCACGAGCAGGCGACGTGTCCCGTCGACCACAAGAGCAGGGAAGCATGGCTAGAGAAGGCAAAGGCCGCATCGGCAGCGACAGACTCTCCCCCCGCATCGCTCCCACCATCGCATCCGCCTGTGGGCACGAACGCAACCACAAACGCAGAGAGCTGTCCCGTCGATCACAGCGCGCGCGAGGTATGGCTGCAACAAGCCCGTGCGTCATCCACATCCGAGAACACGGGGATTCCCAGACACACCACACCATCGACATCCTCCATATCCTCATCATGGAGTTCCTACATCCCCCGAATTCCATTCTTCTCTTCCTCGACAACAACAACAACAACAACATCAAACCAAGTTCCGCCAAGCACAATACAAAGCCACTCCCCCCTCGGCATAGACCGTGAAGTCTCGACCATCCCGCGGACATCCATCCTCCCAGGCAATGACACCCATTCAAGCGGCGCCAGCGACCACCCAGCCCCACCCCTCGCGAACAACGAGCAAGAAACGGGCGCCGACCGCGCCACAGGGAACTGGATATACCCGTCGGAGCGCATGTTCTTCGACGCGATGAAGCGCAAGGGCCACGACCCGCGGGCCGCCGACATGCGGACGGTGGTGCCGATCCACAACGCCGTCAACGAGCGCGCGTGGGCCGAGATCAAGGCCTGGGAGGGCCCGTGGATACAAGGGAGCAGGTGAGTTGTGCCTTGACTGCACACATTCCATCACGCACACCTCCTTTTCCAATTCCATTTCCCGATCAATACCTTCTAGCTAACCACAGATATAAACCCCCAGCTGCTCCGGCCCGCGCCTGCACTCCTTCTCCGGCCTAAGCACGCAGATGTCCCCCAAGGCGCGCTTCAACACGCTCCTAGGCTACCAGGCGCCCTTCGACCGCCACGACTGGGTCGTCGACCGCTGCGGGAAGGAAGTCGAGTACGTGATCGACTTCTACGCGGGCCGGAACACGGGCAACGGCGCCGACGGCAAGTTGTCGTTCTACTTGGATGTGCGGCCGAAGCTGAACTCCTGGGAGGGCGTCAAGATGCGGGCTTTTCGCGCCGCCGGGCTTGCGTAGATTTTAAGTACCTACTTCATTTCAACGAATTTTATACGATCTAGGTAGTAGGGTAGGGTGAGTGAGGAATAAGAAGAGGCGCGTGTGTTGGTGAGTGGGTTTGTAAATACGCTGTATAACTAATGTATCACTTGCATGGAGACATCTGGATACCAATGCCATGACGAAACCAAAAAAGGGGGGAAAGGCAAGGCGTTTAGGTATTTCATGAAGGAATTTGGAGATATTTCATTCATTTGCTGCATCGTATCGTGCAGGTGGCATCTCTACTGTACATACTCCACATAGAACAGTTCTTGCGATAATCTCTATTCCTTGATTCAAAGCGCCGCGTTTTCCCAGTTCCTTTTCCTTTTTCTTGTGTTTTTTTCTTTTCTTTCGTGATGTTTTTACTACTTTGGTTTGGTTGCATCTCTCATTCTACCAGGATGCGAACGGCAGGACCAGTTTCCATGGCTCCTGTCTCCAGATCCCATCCAGAGCTCGCCATTGCTTTCCAGAACTCTTCGTCAACGGAGCGTAGACGACCCAGCGCAGCAATCCAAGCTTCTATGGCATCGACAGTCGTGGCGCCTTGTTTCAGATATATCTTCTGACCTGCTGTGCTGTTTACGATTATGTACCGGTTATCACGAAAGTTCAGTATATCAGTAGTGGTAATCTCCCCTATTTCCGGGTGTCTGCGTGCGTAGTCGATGTTAGGCGCCTTCCAGCGTAATATGCGCTCTTTGATAGCGACCTGATCTGGCCGTAGCACAAGGCCGCTGCGCAGGAACTCAGTGATAATTATGGTAGCGCGCTGTTTATTTAGCGTCCGCATCTGTACGGACCGCACAGCCTGGTAATTAGTCCATAGGTGGAGACCGACGAGTGTCGCGGTCCATAGCCACACGGCGAGTCGACTCTGCACAAAACGCACAAATACGCTTCCTACCAGCATCCCAAGTAGACTGATGACGGTCTCCTGGCTACCGTCCTTGGCGTTAAGTTCGGCGAGGTTGCCAGACCGCGCAAAATGCGCGCTGAGACTTGCCTTGGCCGACCCACCCGAGACACCGCATAGCGCTCGAAGCACGCCCGACATGCAGAGTGCTACAACCTTGGCGGGGCCGGGGAGTGCAGGGGAGAGAACATCGAGGAACATGGCCGAGTCGTTTAAGATATCGGCGAGAAAGCGGTAGAACTTGCACTCTGGCTCGATGGCTTGGCCGAGCCTGTGGGCGAACAGGATCGTTGCTAGTCGGCCCGTCGACTCTTGAAGGACGGTCAACAGCACGGCACCTGTGGCTGAGGATGCCGCATCTCCTACGCCGAATCCCTGGAGCACGGCCCGCGATGACAGTAGTCCAGCTATTGTACTAGAAAAGGCCTGGAGAGAGTCCTAGAAATGAAGGATGATGTGTCAGCTGAGCAGGTCCTTCCCAAGCACATTGGCCCATGTCTCATTCTTCGTTGAGCAATCTCGCACAGAATAATAAACAAACTACACAACCTCTGTCTTCAGCCTATTGAAGGTCGGGGAAGAGAACTTACGTATATTTGATAAGGCGTGTAGTCAGGCGTCACGGTATGCGGATAGCCAGCGGGGAGGAAGACATCTAGGACCTCACGTGCATAGCTGCGGCGTTTGACCTTGGGCTTGGTGTCATCATCGTAGATGCAGAGGACCCCGGACTCATCAGAGGCACTGATGAGTCTGGGATGGGCAGCCATGTCTAATCGACTATTAGATAGAACAGAGCATCAAGTAGATTTGGCAAGAGGAGAGAGAAAAAGCAGAGAGATGAGGTAAGAGAAGTAAGTGATGATGTTTGCAGGTACTAGGTACTAGTCTCAGAGAGAGATTGTAGCTGAGCTCAGATGCTAAGGCTCACTGCAGGGCCTGGGCTGCGCTAGGGTGCGCTTCTACCCCGCGATAACCCCGCTATGGACTACCCGCAACAGTGCTTGCAGGTACTTGTGTACCTGCGCCTGTCTTGGTGATTGCCTCAGTACTCCCAACAACCCATCTTGTTTGCTTACAATATGCTCTCCATGGATCTGTAAGATGAGAGGATCAAGAAAACCTGCGTGGTGTGACGTGATGTGGCTCAGGCGGTGTGAATTTTCTCATTTCCACTCTGTCGGAAAGCTTCATAGATAACAGCCAAGCCCGCCAGGACCTACCTAGTCCACTAACAAAGAAGCTCTAAAGAGCTCCGGACAGAACCATCGAGGTTCCTATAAGGATTTTTTTTTTTTTTTTTTTTTAGTTAACACATGTGCATGTGCGCAATGATGGCGGACAGAATCAATCTTCATTATCCCTATACCTAATCGTTCATCATGTGTGTGAATCTGCATGCGTCACTATCATTGCCTTGCTGTAGCCATTCTTGTTCCAACTCGATTGTTTAACTCACTCCTCCAGACAATTCGCATATAACAGTAGCCAGTTTCTTTGCAATATCACACTCGAACTCCGTATTTGTTTCAGATTAGAGACTTCTCATCTCTTTCAATCGTGGACCATGAAGAAAATCACCCTTCCTAGTTATGCCATAACTTTCCCGGTGTGCTCAGTAATCCCACGTGTTGTAGTGTTGTGGATGTTGATCACTGGTAGGATCTGTTGGGAGTTGGCGTGCCACCACGGCCTTGACGGCTTAGTAGGTAACCAGCAGTAATCATTGCAATGCCGACGGTGAATCCGATGTACTCGAAGATATACCCAGCACGCGCCATCTTGCAACGACTTGGGGTGAGGTCAGTGCCATCAGAACTGGTTGCATGTAAACAAGCCAACTCCCCCTCAATAGTCAGGCAGCCACCACTGGTGATCTTGTTGGTCATTCTGTTGTACTCGGCGACCTGGTCAGTTGCAGTGCAACTTGTTACTGGCTTCAAGGCCACCGTGAGGGCCTGCACAGCATCTATCAGTAAGCAAAACTGCATAGGGACGAAGACCGCCATATAGGTAGAAAGTCGGATATGACTTACAACAGCAGCTGCCAGGTAGAAAGTGGACACAAGCAGGTCAAGAATCATCGTGATTCTCTGGTCGAGGCGATCGAACCACATTGCTGCCATGCCAACAGAGGATACAAAGAACGCAGTGGCTCCTGCGAAAACGCTGAAGCCAGTCTCAGTAGGCACTGATCCAACAACCTGCTGCTTAGCCAGAGAGACGGAGAGGCCGAGGACCACAGAGGCGGTGAGCAGCTACCGGATAATACTGATTAATGGTAGTTCAAAGGAAGGGTAGGTAGCATATACCCGTGTTATAGACGGAACTTACGAGAAAGGCACGGAGGCCAAGGCCGACGGCAGACAACATTGTTCTTGAGTAAAGGGGAAGTGAGGTTTTCGAAATGATGTAGATCTGAATGAGCGTGATCGTACCGGCGATGACAATGAGGGGCTTTCTGATACGTATCACAAGTCAACGTGAAGTTGAGAAAGAGACCGGTTGTAATTGAAGAATGGGATAGGCAGGCGGTTTGTTGTTCCAGGGACAGGTGCAGAGGTGTGACAGTTGTGCAAGTCAGCCGAAGTACCAAAGTACCACGTGCCTTCCCTAAAGATGTTCAACGCGCTGGTATTATCACTGATGTATATATATATGTACTCTCCCGTTCCATTGCTACAAGGGCTGAACGTGGTATGGTGTACTGAGCTTCAGATGTTAGTATTGCATGTTCAATGTTAGGAGTTTCAGGAAGAAGAAGTTAAGACATGCTCTAGAGTCACAATAATCCTGTGATATGCTTGCTATTACCACCAGCTGCTAGGTACACAATAACCACTTCCATGTTATGCTATTCAGCCATCTTCCCTTAAAGGCTGCCATAAGGTTTGAGTATAATGGCATGCTATACATAAGTTTGTTTCGTTACATTGAAGAACAATAATGTTACAAGTTTAAGAAAGACATGGTGCAACTTTGTTAATAAGGCACTAGGAACTTGCGCCAGAGTAAGGGGCCTAGTCTATTAAGTAAGACTCTCGCTCTCTAAATGGATGGACTGATGCCTCCGTCCTATCCCAATGAAAGAGTGCGTTTAGGTTTTCGGATTATACAGATTGCGTATTTTGTTCTTAGCTCAAGGCCGCAGCCCGTGGACCAGCAGATGTAATGCACTGCATTCTTAGCTCCGTGCACTGGGGATGACCAACATAACGTCCCTAGTGGTTTGGTAAGCATGATGCCAACTTGAGTTTGCCTACTTATCAATGGAGAATCCAGCTGAAATTACTGGCAACACAGCAGATAGTGATCAGAATGAGATGCATTCTCTGTACCTGATAGAGACTTCCATTAGAGTGCACATGCCAAGCGTTAAGCGGCAATGGTATGTGGGATTGCCTGATCTGGCCATATATAGCTTGCTTCAACCAATGATAGACAATGCCGTGGTCAGCATTCTCTAACCCTCAAGGCTGGGCTTAAGAATAGTCATATACATTATCGACCTCACTTCTTCTTTTCCCTAGGGATGGTAGATGCGGGCATATCTCTAAGGTATGTCGTTTCTTCCTGCTAGTTAACGCTGCTCAAATGAACAAGTTTTACACGGCCAGATGATAGCTATAGAGACAATTGGACCGGCCTTCCTATCTCTGAGGTGCATCAGAGTGTCGAGCAATGCTGTCGAGAACAGCGATTACTAATCAACCATATATTCTCCCGCATCGCATCTCCAATCATAAGTTCCGACATTTTCCGTTGGAGTATAACCAAGTTTTTCAACATCTCCTCCGACGTCATCATTTCCCATTGCTAGTCTGCGCTACGTCCTAATACCAACATCAACTTTCTACCAAAGATATGTCTGCCTCCCAAGCTATCATAGACCCGAACTGGCGGCCGAAGGCCATTGTCTTTGACCTTCTTACTGGTCTGGCAAACTCTTGGGATCTTTGGGGTGCATGCACACCATCAGGAACCGCTGCCGAGGGAAGACGTTGGCGCGAACGCTACCTCCAGATCACCTTCGGCACAGGGGCGTATATGCCGAACGAAGACCTCGTCAAACAAGCTGCACATGAAGCTGGCTTGCCCCCATCAGCTCCGGAAGCGTTGCTGCACCAATGGGAACACTTATCCGCCTGGCCCGAAACCGGAGCCGTGCTACGAACTCTGAGAAGGAGAGGGTATAAACTCGCCGTGGTCACGAACTGTTCGAAGCGCCTCGGACACCTTGCTGCTCATGGAGTCGAGATGTCGGCCAGCAATGGCAGTGGAGAAAGGTTCGAGTTTGATGCCGTCATTACCGCTGAAGAAAGTGGGTTCTATAAGCCTGTCAAGGAGGCGTACGAGGCCATCCTTCTTGCAATCGGTCTCGAGCCGGAAGACGTGTTGTTTGTTGCTGGGAGCGCGGGAGACGTCCAAGGCGCTGCGAACGCTGGTATGAAGGTTGTCTGGCATAATAGGATTGGACTGCCGAAGAAGGGGGATGTAGTGCCCCTCCAAGAAGCTCAGTCTTTGGACGTGGCCTTGAAAGATTACTTATAGATCAGTGTTGATAGTCATGCTCATACGGCAGCTGATAGTATATGTTAATACTTTCTTTTGGGTGGCTGACCATATTACATAAGAATAAACGCCAAATGAAGCTTAAAGTATGCCCTCCATATTCAAGCTCCTGAATGTGTTGAAAACCAGAAATTGATTGTAACCACCTGCCATTTCCGTGTGGTGTCAATTTCTTCATCAAGAAAACTGCACTATAGTGCCGTAACTATACCGTCTTGGCGCTGTTTACACGAAGCATTAATTTTTTGCAATAGCTGATAAGCCGTCATGAACCATCAGTTGAATATTATTTGAAAGAATTAATTCTTGAGGTGTGCTAAGTGGTAATCACACTAGTTGTTGTATTGCAAACCACAGAAAATATGATTGTTTCTTTGGTCAATGTGAAAGCACTAGGGGCAGTATTGCTAGCACAAAAGTGACAACAGTTTCCTTTTTGCCTGTCTGAGAAAGATATAAAGAACATAAAGCTATTATCTTGCCTCAGGGTGATGGAAGATTTGACTGTGATTTGAAGAATGCAATATGAGTTTCGTGAGACTATTAATAGCGAGATCGACCCATACAGACAGACAACCCGAACACAATCTTGCAAGAAAATTATCGGTGAATTAAGAAGCAGGATGGCAGACTTTACGCGACATCTCCAGAAGGTCAGTAAGTCGTTTCTCCAATCGGACCCATCATCCCTACCAGAGATTCTCACTATTTTCCTGGGAGGCAGTCGCGTTTACAAGCGAAATATGCAGCTAAATCTTGGAAGCGATTATGATAGCATCGTAGTTGTTCCATCTAAGTATCACATCTACTCCCTCCTAAATGATAAACAGCGCCGCCAACTTTTCGCCGAAGTTGTGGGAATTGAGAACGAGGCGTTCGGTGATCTTGAAGTTCCTTGTCCCAGCTCTCCACTTTGGTCCGAGTTCGATGCTGTTGGATTTGCGGGCTACGACTCGAATGGTATTGAGAGGTCGGTTAAGTTGCTTAACTTAAGCGATATCGCTCGGAAAGATACGATAAACCTTCTTTCCTACAAGGATAGACGCATATTCGACGCCGTTGGCCTCAGGGGTAAACGATCCCTTTTAGTACAGACAACCTCTATTCCTCACAAATTGGTAGTACAGCACGACCAATGGGTGTACGTGACTTCCCCTAGGGAAGTTGAGAGTGTTGGTGCAGCTTTCGGATACATGGCTGACCTGCTTTTAACCTCTGCCTGTATCTACGATCAAGGCACTTACGGCTACAATATAAAGAAGGTCGTTGCAGAACTTTACTTTTCCAAGATCGGGGCCCCTCCGACTCTACAATCGTTTTGTAGGCATCCATCTTTCCACCCAACATACATGAATTGGCTTAGTCATCAATTGAATGACTTATATGCCTCTATGAAGGCAAATACAACCGATTCAAATGCTAGAACAAGCAATGGGGAGTTCCAAGTTCTTCTAGGCAAAACAGTTAGCACACAAGGGTTGTTTGTTTTAGAAAATGCGGTGTCCAGTACCCATGCAGTCTCGGATGAGACCTTGAGACAGTTCAACGATGGCCAAGTCGTCCGCCTTCATGAAAATGCACGAATCTCCTCACCCAAACACAGCTCCTATAAAGCAAGGACAAACAACGGGGTGCAGATATTGGTCAAACAGACACGATTCGCTAAAGACGAAGAATATAGAGCGGAGATAGTCTCAAGGTTCTTCCCAAGGGTGATGAAGCCACGAATCGCTGCCAAAGGTGAGCTACTCTATCCGCTCTTCAGGGGCACCGCTAAATCTAACATCAGACTGTCATATATCCGCGGCGGGTGCAAAGATGAAGGCCTCGAGAGAAGGCTACTTCATGCGGAGATGGTACAAGCCGAAGATACACTCCGCGCATACAGACAGTCACTCTCGCTGGATAGTAGTAATATTGATAGTGCGGGCGTGTTACTGGGGCACAGCACCCAGCGATTCTTCCATGATCGTCTTGCCGATGATTCTTGGATGCGCCTACACTACGGACAAGGCGTGAAGCTACCTGGATTCAGCCATCCTATCCAATTGGACCAGCTTCTCACACTCCGTTGGCGCATCAACGGAAATTTGTACGAATCTCTGCAAGACGCCTTTGATTACGCTCGGCGAGTCGTTACGCCTGGGTCGACATACCTGCGGGCATGCCCCGTAGTATTCGGACTCGGGAGTCCTGGCATCATGTTGTCAGACACGTTCACAAAAAAAGGCGGTTCCGGGGAGATCGTCTTTACAGATTTTAAGGGTTCAGGATTCCATCCAGTGATGCTTGACCTCGCAGCGCCATTGTACATCGACACTATGTTCGAGGCGCTTCCTGGGAATACGCTAGATGTTCGGATCGATAACGGGACGAAGTGTTATCTCGCTGAAGGTGAGATCGTTGTGGATTTATCACGCCGGGTTAATGGCTTGACGCAGGCTATCCTCGACATAAAGAATCATTACTTGATTAAACCTCTTTGTGAGGAAGTGCAGAGGCTAGGGGGTAATATGGAGGATCACGTGCCTCTTCTTGCCGTTGCCTTATTCTTATGCGCTACCGTATCCAAGCACTTCTCCGATGATCTCATTGCTTTCGTGGAGAATTTTGCTATAGGACTGAGTTTCCTCAGAGCACAGAGTTTTGATGATATCGATGCTTGCTTTCGGAAACTTGGATTTAGCTGATAAGTGCGTAGGTGGTGAGACATATATTTATTTCGGTTTTTGCGTCTGCTCCCTGCTTTTCTACGCTTTTTCTTTTATCTTTTCCTAAATAGAATATCTTAACTCTTAAAGCATCTTAGAAAAAAGATTATTAATTCAATGGCCCAGATAAAATTTTAAAGTAACCTTGATAAATGCATGGTCTAATTCGGTAGCATAAGGGGTAAACTGGACGTCTACTTTAAGCACTTTTAAAATTTGCGTAAGAATCACCAACAATGCAAAAAATTACAATTGAATTGGTACTCCTAACCTCCGGGACCCGCCATATGTCCCAAAGGAACTCCTTAAGTGTCTAACTAAGTCAAGCATGTAGTCATCATACAGGATTTGCGAAGGCGTTCAATACGCTCAGTATGTGTAACAGTTGATCAAAGATTCTCAGAAGATCGTTAAAACGAATCTTAATGCACATATTTTCCGCTAACAGTAAGAACAGCGGAAGTATTCTTGTTCGAGACTTTAGTCAGAATCATGTCCTTTGATGGAAACGCCAGAGTAACGGAGGGGCTGACTTATGCTCCTTGTAGTTTTAGCTTAACCTTGCACGACAATTTAGGCTATTACACCCTCACGAGCACCGGGACCGGCCTAAAATACAACTAATATTACTTGCACATTACTCATTACTGCTCCAAGAACGAACGAGTCTGTGGCTTGTTTTCGCAAGAATACCTCAAACATGGAGCAATATGTTAACTACAGTTTTGAGGACCTGGTAATCTGGCTAGTGACTTCTATTATTGCACAAGGATCTTGTCAGGGGTCTCAGGGCGGAGGAACAAAGAAATCCATTGTATATAGTCAAAGAAAGCCAAATCCCGTCAGACTTTTAACCTTTTAAACCTTCTTTAGCAATAAGGGTGTTACGTAACGAAGTCACGTGATAGACCGACCGGGGCCTACCCCACCATATATTTAGACCGTAGTTCTCTAAGTAGCCTAAGGGGCCTGGAAGTTAATTAGTTCATATTATTAAATTAGTCCTATTTAGATCCTATTTTATATAGATTATGACTTTTATGCCTTATATGCCTTTAGATTAAGTGTTTTTAACCTATTATATAATAATTAACGATTGTTTTAATATTTTTAAACTTTAAAATAATTAAAATATAATAAATTTTTCTAAAGTTTTATTAATTTAATTAATCTTAATTATTTTAATAATTTTTTAATTAAAGCTATTTAATAATATAAATTATTATAGTTGGGGTATTACGTATAAGGCAAAGCTTATATTGGGGTACCATCTATATATTTATCGTGAGATGGAGAACGGAGGAAATATTCTAAGTACAAAAAGTATAGCAAAGTATTTTAGTGCGCACAGCGAAGCGATGGTCACGTGGTGATTGCGATACGTATGGCAGTGTGGCCATCTGGGCCCCAAGCCCCAGGTGGGTCACCAGGCCAGCCACCATAACTTAAATAAATAAACCTTATAGGATAAGCTTTTTATATTTCTATTAAATGCATTTAATTTAATAAATTGCTATTAAATTAAATAGGATATAATTTAGTTAAAGCATTTTTAACTATTAATTATAATTATAAATAATATTTATAAAAGTTATTAAGAACCCTTAAAAGTAATATTTAAATTTTTATTAATAATTTAACTTTAATTTATTTATAATTATTATTTATTATAGAACTTAAATAAAAGTAAAAATAATTATAAAATACTTAAGGATACTTTATTAAAATATTATTAAATATAAATAAATAATTAAAAATATTAATATATAAATTATTTAATATAAATAACCTTTAAATAATAAGTAATAAATTAGTAATAGCTTTTATATTAATATAGTTAATGTAATTATTAAATAAATATTATATTAAAATACTGTAATAAATTTAAATATTATTATTAAACTATATTTAAACCTTAATTATAAAGGATATTTAAATAAAGGAGGGAAGTTTCCCTTTATAATAGGAATAAATAATATATTAACTTAATAAAGGTAAAGTAGTTATATTTATTACTTATTTAAATAAATAAATTCCCCTTCTTTAAATAAAATAAAAAATATCTTTAATAATAATTATAATTAATATTAAATATATTAAATATAAGCTTTTTACTTATATAGTAAAAATATTACTCTTTTATATTAAAATATTTATTAACCCCTTATAAATTAGGTAACCTTTAATATTATAACCTTTATTACTTTATTATTCTTCTTTTAAACTTTATTTAAATAAATAAAATTTAAATAATTAACTTTAAATTTTATATCCTTAATATATTTAACAATATATTTAACTATCCTTTAAATTAATTTATTTATTTATAAATTATTAAAACTATATTAACCTTTTTATTAGTTTAATTTATAAATTAGGGTAATTAAACGTAAAAGTGGTAGAAAATCCCTTTATTTATATTTTTATTTATAATCTTCCATTAGAACCCCTTCCTATAAAACAAATAAAAACCTTTAGTTAGCTTAAGTAAAGTAAACCTATTAAACCTATATTAATATCCTTAACCCCTAACTAATTTAAATAAAATAAATCTATTAATTTAACCAATTTATTAATTATTTTTATAACCCTTAAGTTTATTATTAACCCGCTATAGGTATAATTTAACTATTATTAATAATTAACCTAGGTATATTTTTCCATTTATTAAAAATTCCAATATTTCCTTTAAAAAAGTAATAGATTAAATAAATTAAATATTTTATCCTCTTTACTTTTATTCCTAATTTACCTTTAAAAGGTTAAAATAATAAACTAAAATAATAAAGAAGGCCCCTTTTATTATTAAAATAAAAAACCTATATATATATTATATTTAAATCCTTAATATAATTTAAAAGAGAATACTTATAATATTTAATTTAAAGGATTAAATAAGCTTATTTTAAACTTTAAACCTATTATTTTAAACCTATTATACTATACTTCCCCCCTTTATCTTTAATATATATATTTTAATAAAGTTAAAGATATAACTACTTTAATAAAAATATTTAACAATATAAATTTAAATACTTATTTAAAATTATAATAATAAATATTTAAAAAAATATAAAAACATTATTAAAAAGTTTTAATTAACTTTAAATATATTAATTATAAGTTTATTAATATATTATAATAATAATATAATTAGGTTCTTACTTTTAATAGTTTTTAAATTATTTTAACTTTAAAACTATTACTGTTTTACTTCTTTTAATATTATACATTTAATAAAATTCTACTTTATTAATATATTTAGCAGCCCCCCTTTTTTAACTATAGCTAGCTTTTAATAACTTCTTATAGGAATTAAATTATCCGGTATATAGTTTAACATTTATATACCTATTAATATTTTAATAATATACTTTAAAGAACCCCTTTATTTAAAATTAACTGCTGCCTTAGTAGCTATTTACCTAATAGCACTTTCTAAGAAACCCTTTTGCTTAAACCTACCAGGCAACCCTGTAGTAGTATAATTCCCCTATTGTAATAAATACTTTTATTCCCCCTTACCAACCCTAAGAGCCGCAGTCTTAAAATATATAAATTAATCCTAATATAATAGGTATTTTTATAGTTAACCTATAGGACTTATAAACTTATAATCCTAATAATGTTAATTAGCCTTAATAAATAACTAATATATAAAGCTTTATTTTTAATAAATTTAAGCTTAAAATATTTATATATTATAACTTTACTCCTATTATATAATTTATTAATAAACTTAAGTATCTTAAAGCTATTTAGGGAAAATGGATAATATTTTAAAATTTAAAAATTGGAATTATAATTAATTTAATTTCCGTAAAAGCTAAATAGTTCAAAGGCCTTATTTAAACAGTTAAATAGAATATTTTATAAAGCTTTAATAAAGCGGAAAGACTGCTTTATAAAAGATTCCAAAAGGATAAATTAAAAATTATAAAGTTAATAAATATTAAAAAGCATTCTTTTATTAATAAAATTAAAAAACTAGTAAATTAATATATTAATAATAAGGTTTAATACTATTAAAAAATAGGTAAAACTAATAAGGATTATATTATTTATTAAATTTTTAATAATTTTAATAATTAATTTAAGCTTTTAATTTAATTAAAGCAATTTAATAATATAATTATAAATTTTTAAAATTAAATTAAAATAAATAAATATATAGCCTTAAAATAATAAAAAAAGAAAAATAAAGTTTAAAAGGCTTATAATAAATATATTTAAAAACTTAAAACTATTATTAAAAAACTTAATAATAATTATAACTTTAAACCATTAATAAATAAAGCTAACCAGTTTACCCCTTACCCCTTACCACCTTTAATAAATATTATTATAATTAATAAGGACTTTTTTAAAGGAATAGTAAATCTTTCTTACCCCCCCCTAAAATATTAACGTATATAATTAAAACGCCCTTAATTAAAAATCTACAAATAGTAAAAATCCTAATAAACCGTTTAATAATAGTAAAACAACTAAAATAAAGGATAAAACTATAGGTACCAACCATTAAAGCTAATCTTTTAATAGGGGTCTTTTCCGGTCGGGCAAAGGTAAAAGCAGCTATTGGAAGTTTAATAATTAAGGTATTTAAAATGGTTATAAATAAAACAATATATTTAAAGTAACTTAATCCTTTATATTAGTTAAATTTAACGTTTAATTTAATTAAAGTTTTAAGGAATTTTATACTTAACTATATATTTTAAAATAAATATAACAATTTAAACTATAGTTTAATAAATACTTTAATAAAGAAAAGGATAACGGTAATAATGCTGCTACTTCCGATCCAAAAAACGAATAATATAAACGTTTATAAGGGATATCTTACTGGTTCCAAATAAGCCTTTAAAACCTTTAACTCCTTATATCCTATATATTATAAATATTAAAATAACTAACTATTATTATTATATTACCCCGTTTATTAATTCTATTAAATAAATTAATATTATTAAAAAAAT